CACTACCCCTGAGACTTGCTTCAGCCTGTTTACCTCAAATTCTAGGACCTTTACCCTGGCTACTGCAGTTTCGACTTGTGCCTCCCAATTCTTCGTCTCCTTCTCCAACCTCTTTTCCCATTTCACAGAGAGCTCTTTCTCCATTTTTTTCAGAAAGCTCTCCTAATTTTCTCTCCCATTCTTGCTCTATCTTTTTCCACTGTTCCTCCATCCATTCCTCCCTACGAGTACCATTGTCATCTGATCCCTGATTCCTGCGAGTCCCAACCATTTTTTTTAATGAAAGAGAGAGAGAAAGAGAAAAAGAAAAAGGGGGAGAGAGTGAGAGATAGGGAGAGAGAGATGGGGAGCCTAGAAGGAGGGGAAAAGAAGAGAAAAAGGGGGAGAAAGTGAGAGAGGGAAAAGGTAAGAGAGAGGGGGAGTGACAAGGGAAGAGAGAGAGAAAAGAAGAGGAAGAGAGAGAGTAAGAGAGGAAGAGAGAGAGGGAGAGGGAGAGGAGAGAGAGAAGAAGAGAGAGAGAAAGAGTGAAAGGAAGAGAGAGAGGAAGAGAGAGAGGATGAGAGAGAGGATGAGAGAAAGGGGAGAAAGAGAGAGAGAGAGAGAGAGAGAGAGAGAGAGAGAGAGAGAGAGAGAGAGAGAGAGAGAGAGAGAGAGAGAGAGAGAGAGAGAGAGAGAGGAAGAGAGAGGAGAGGAGAGGGAGAGAGATGGGGGGGAAAGGAAGGGTTATAGGGTCACTTCACAGGAAGGTGTAAAATCCTGTATATGTGTGTGTGTGTCTATATATGTGTGTGTGTGTGTGTGTGTATGTATGTGTGTGTGTGTGTGTGTGTGTTGTGTGTGGTGTGTGTGTGTGTGTGTGTGTGTGTGTGCATATGTGTGTGTGTGTGTGTGTGTGTGTGTGTGTGCTACAGCTATTCAAGTGCCTAACAGCAGTGCTGTTCTCACCAAGTGTGTGTGCATATGTTTATGTAAACAGTCCTTATTTCCCACGTATGTACTACATATGTATTGTATATGTACCCGATCTCTTGGTTCCCACTGTACTCTTATGCGTTTAAAATTGCGTTAAAAAATAAATACACTAGGCTTCGCCTATATGCCGCTACCTCTAAATTCTATTAAATGCCAGTAAATGCTGCTTATTCTAATTCTGATAGCTCGAGGAGAGTGACCCCCAATTCCAGCTAGAGACAGGTACTATTGACCCCATGCAACTCAAACTAGGTGAATATTACTTGCGGCTGGCAGTGGAGTAACGTTGCGGGTCTGTCCTGTCCCAGAAGTTGATGTTTGATGCTTCTCGGTAATTTTTCCACTAACTTCCTGTATGCACTATAGTCTCTAGCTCTTCTTTATTTTTTCACTCACTCACTGTATTTACTGACACATCTATACATATCTCTTATCTCCCTGGTCTTGAGTCACACTTATTCTTCAAAATACCCCACTGCGTTATTATGGCAACACTATTTAGGCCTGACACAACCGTTCACCCTTCCAACGGCCCCCACTAAACACTCAGCCACTATTTCCTTTGTTTTCTTTTCTGTGATCACTTATATTTCCTTTTTTTCGGGGCTTAAGTGATTATATGCACTCTCATGCGTGCACACGCCTATATCCCACACTCTATTCCTTATGGCACAGTCAGAAATTACCACCAAAACAAAAGCTCAAACTGCGTGACTCCTCCACGAGTGTGTGTACTCACCTAGTTGAGGTTGCGGGGGTCGAGTCCGAGCTCCTGTGTGTGTGTGTGTGTGTGTGTGTGTGTGTGTGTGTGTGTGTGTGTTTGTGTATGTGTGTGTGTGTGTGTGGTGTGTGTGTGTGTGTGTGTGTGGTGTGTGTGTGTGTGTGTGTGTGTGTGTGTGTGCATGTGTGTGTGTATATTTGCCTAGTGCAGGTGTGTGTGTGTGTATTTTGCCTAGTGCAGGTGTGTGTGTATGTGTGTATATGTGCATGTTCATGTGTATGGGGGAGGTCTGAGGGGGAAATACTGCTAATACATACCAGTAATTCTGAGTTATAAAAAGCTGAAATTGGTACTAGGGTCTAAAGCTTCTATGAGTGTCTACCCTTGTATGTGTGTATGTGTGTGAGGGAGAGATGGTTAGGGGGGTAGGGGAGGGGTTGTTGTGGTTGAAAGATCTGTTATGCCTCTCTGTCGTGTAGGCTCAAATTTAGTCCCAGCTGTCTTTCCTAGTATTGCTACTCTCTCCACTTATTGCCCTTTCTGGATTTAAGTATCAATTACTGCTGGTTATTATCCTATTCCTTGCTCACATTGAGAGAGGACTTCCTAGCTTCCTAAGTATTCATACTGCTAATAACTACTGGTAGTAATACTACGCTACCCCTCGCTAGTCTGCTGTCCTCACACTCTCGTCAACACTATCTTCACTTTATCTATGCTATTTCTACTCTAATTCTGGTAATAGCTTGCAGGAGTGAGTGACCAGTATCTAACAGTGATGCAAGACCAGAATCCAGAGCCAACATGCAACCACAATAGATGAGTAATACTTGTGCTGGCAGTGGTGCGGTGACAAGTTGCCAGATGCTGATGATGTAGTCATCGTACATAGGTCTTCTATCACTATTTTGGAGATCCTTCACCCGTGATGTTTACAACCATATATGCTCATACATCCCGCGCGTTCCTCACGCTATTTCACTTTTCACTTATGATAGTATACACTTCACATTATATACAAATCACTTTATATGAATAATGGCACACAACTTGTTGAGACGACACTGCTTCAGCAGGCCTACTCTGCCACTTTCCCTATTTTATGTTTTATTTTTCCTTTCTCCTTTTGCTTATGAACTTTTTCACTCTCATTGTATGGTGCCCCACATTTCACTTGTTATCCAAACGCTGGCAATTCTTGAACACTCGCTTTCACACTCACTTTGATCTTTGTATATTTGAATCTGTGTGGCAACAGGTGCCTACTTCCCCTAACAGTTTGGTACTTTGAAATATTAATGATTTCAGGCTTCCTCTCGACTTTTTTTTAACTAATAACTTTAGTTATCACTCGTAGGATTGTTCACTGACGTTGTCACTACCACTGATTACTGCTAGCAGTTACTGCACACCTTAAAAACACTAAGGTTCTAGGAGCCTTGTGCACCCACGTCTGCGTAACATGTGTGTGTGTGTGTGTGTGTGTGTGTGTGTGTGTGTGTGTGTGTGTGTGTGTGTGTGTGTGTGTGTGTGTGTGTGTGTACTCACCTAGTTGTACTCGCCTAGTTGAGGTTGCAGGGGTCGAGTCCTAGCTCTTGGCCCCGCCTCTTCACTGGACGCTACTACGTCACTCTCCCTGAACTGTGAGCTTTATCATACCTCTGTTGTGTTTGTGTGTCTGTGTGTGTATGTATGACTAATAAGTTAATTATCCAGTCAGGTCATTAGCTGAATCCAATCCAAGAAACTGCTGCCCCATCCTTGGATAATAGGTTCTCTTATCTTTTTCTAGACATGGGATGTTTAGTATCCCGAAGGCCTACCATGTAGGACATCCACGTGGCCAGTAATCATTAACGTATTTGACTGAATATATTCAAGTAACCGCCTCGATGCAGGGATGCATTTAGGTTACTGAATCCTGTTAGAAACACCGTGAAATACGTATATGAGTCACTGTTTAACCCCCAGATTTGTCGAATAAGATAGGTCGTCTTGTCCGTACGTGGGCATGTGCGTGCCTCCATGTTTGTATTGTGATTAGTGAAGGGTAGTGTCCTTCACTTTACAGGCCTAGTTGAGTAACAAGTTAATTATTGGTAAGTCGCCTTGGGTTAAATTAGGTTGAAATGAAAGACCAGGTGTTACGAGGTGGAGCGCTGAGTCTCCACCGTACATAGATGTTTTAGTGACTGGTCAGCGTGGTGTGTGTTGGCTGTGAGCTGCCCGCGGCTGCTGCAGTCTTATAGCTAATTAACGCCATGCTGAGTCACTTAAACTACACTCCAGGTCTAACATAATAAAAGAGAGAGATTGAGTAGGAGTCTATTAAAAGATTGGAGTTAAATTAGTCATACGATTACAGTTGTACGAACTGTATATGTTTGGCATACAAGTATACCTACATATGTTTGGCATACAAGTATACCTACATATGTTTGGCATACAAGTATACCTACAAATGTTACAAGCTTCGCCTGGGAATTACCCACTCACTTATTTCTACGTCTTTCACCCCCCCCCCTCCTTTCCCGTAAGTCTTAGGAAAAACGGGGAATTCAAAGTTCCCCACAACGAGCAGTGGAGCACTGCAGGTGTCCTACAACTAATCTTGGGAGCACTGCTGAAAGCCTACTAGATATTACATCTCGCGAGAATGTAGGACCATTTTTAGACTCTGATTTAGCTAAACTGAAATCTCCTTTAGCGTTTTTACCACAAAAAAATATACTCTGCACAAGATGTGTTAATGTAGTAATCAGTAAAGCTCCTGCGGTACTCCACAGCCAGCTGGCTACACTGCGATTTCGTACGTCTTCTCTCCGACTGCTCTCCTGCTCACACCTGATCTCATACAAATCTAAATATGATTATTATCAATTTCCTATTGACGTCATAAATACTGCTGTACAGGCGATATATTGTTTTGCTTTGCATCTACTTATTGTACTCCATAATTCTCCGACATCGGTAAGAATGGTATTCACTGAAGTGGAAAAGTGTGATTCCTAGTTTTAACTATCATCACAGAATATATTGTTTTCTAAAGCAGTGAAAAATGGGAAAAATGAGAATGGAGATTAATAACACTTGGTGTTGCGCAGAGTTAAGTTTGCCTTAACCACCAGGATAAAGGAATAAATAATATTGGACACCAAGGAGATTTAGCACGAATTGTAATTTTACATTGTGGCCGAAAACGTGCCAGATGCAATTCAATGTAGAAAGGTATAAGGACATAATACAGTTCTTGGACTCAGGTTTTAATCATAATCTGTTGCACTGTACACTTGGCTGCCTGATATTCTCAGGTCAAGTCGGGCGTGTAGCTGCTAGATAAGAGTTCTCTCGCCTTCACCTCGCCAGGTTTGTGGGATATTTTCTCTATATGAGCTTCATCCTTATTAGTTATCCACGATGCATGTTTTGACAATTTCTTATTTCTTGTAAACTAATTAAAAGAGAATAGTCAGAGTGAGAGCGAGAGGAACACAAGAACATGAAGGATATGCTGACCCGTAGATTAAAATTTGGATTTTTAATTATATCATATTAAGAGCTATGATCTAGCACATTTTAGAAAAGATAAATGTTTTGTAAGTTTCACATAATCAACTAATTATATTCCATGATTGCCAGTGAAATTAACCTTCCTAAAAACGGTTAATGTCTGTCTCGTATTGAGACTACAGATCTGGTTTCGTCTGAGTTTGTATTTTATTAGTGTTTGATTTGCTTGAGCTGAAGCTTCTGAACCTTTTGAGGGTGTTGATGCATATCTCTTGTGCCTCAAAAAGATAATAATGACCTATAGCCTCTGAACTTTTTAAGGGTGTTACTATACAGGCGTTGAAATAATGCTTTTGTGGCCTGGAAGGAGATATTCTCCAACACGCTTCTTTGAAAGGCTGAATTAGTTCATGTTCTACTGAGAAAGTTGAGCTTCTACTATTTTGCTTTTTGACGGTTGTTAGGTACAGATACAATGCCTCTTGCATACCTTGATGTACACTGATATAAGTACTAGGTATATAAATACCTGTGAGGTGAAGACATGTGCAACGCTTAAATCATTTTCTTAAGGAAAGATTTCGCTAGCTGGGTGCTTAGAATTGACAAAGCCCAAATTGTTCGGAACATTTCCTTAATTAAATGTCCTAAGTAAGGTACAGGGGGCTGGGGTTATGTGATACAGTCCTCCCTACAAGTTCGCGTGTTTCCGTGTTCGCTGGTTATAATTATTCAAAGATTTTTATCAGATGGGGTAACCAATAAATATCTTCCAGTTATCCAATGGCTGAAACCTTGTTTTTTATTCTTGTCAGTATTTCTTATGACAGTCAACATTACTCGGATTAAATATATTACATAAACATCGTCTCTGATAAACATACGAACTCAAATGTGAAACACAATCTGTTGTGTTAACTTGAGTGTGTTGAGATCGATACCATGCCTAACCCTTCTAGGGTAGGGTAGGTGCCTGAGCCCGAGCCTTTAGCTCATAAGACTGTCATTCCCATTTGCCCCCTTGGGGCGGGGATGGCAGACCAGAGAGGCCTAGCTTGTGGCTAGGCCTGGGGACAGTTGGTCCCAAAGATGAGGAGGTACTTGTGCCTCCTCCCATGGGAGACTTAGGTCTCAGACACTCCCTAAAGAGGGAGCCAAGGCCGGGCCACCACTTGGAAAAGGCCCGAGCCGGGAGAATACCGGCTAATCTTTAATAATAATAATTGAGTGTGTTAGTCGTGATTTCTAGTTTTACTGGACCTATAGGAAAGTAATAAAGATACTTTTCTTTAACAGTACAATGACCGAAATGTGTCTTTTTCATTCTGTTTATTGAACAGACAGCAACAGAATATAGCCTACACATTAATCACGACTTGAATTACCGAGATATGTTGTGGGTCCAACAACTACATCACATTAACAATCGTACAGTTGAAATTTGAATTGTCAATAAAAGCCTCAGAAACATTTTTTAGTCAACGGGTGAAATTATTATATAAACTCATTGAGAAGAAGTTGCTATAAGCAAATAACAAAGAGAGAATAGTTGAAGTATGTATCTCACCTTTACTGCACATCACCGTTACATTCCAGCCAGAGTCGGTACACTCAACCTGGTATTCCTGGGCGCCTCCAGGTAGGAGGTAGCCAGAGAGGCAGGTGGCAGTTACTGTAGATCCCACGGGATATATGCCGGTGCTATTCCAGTCGGTGTTGGCTTGCTGAAGGTTCGGTTTCCCCTCACACACTGTGCCACAGTAATATTACTTAGTGGTAATTCATAATGGCAGAGAAGGGAAGATATGAATCATCTTACACTAGTACATTGATAAATAAGAGAAATTTTAATGACAATAAATGAAAGAAGGGAAAAACGTTTTCGAGTCAATGAAAATAATTCTTTAATTTTAATTAGAGCAGTATTAGAAAATCAAATAATTAGCAATTAAATAAGCTTTGTGCATCTACCATAATTTGAAGGAGAGTTGAGGTCAACTAACATTACCATCACGAGGGGTTGTTCATTTAGTTGTGATGTGCGAGCTAGCAAACCTCTAATGAATGGTAAGGATGTCAACAGGTATTATAAAATATGTAAAATTGCACGGTTATAAATATATCATTGCCATAGCTCTGAAATCTTTAATTTTTGGATATCCAATAAATAATGTCAGAGTGAATCATTGCTACTGTTGCAGGATTTTACATTTTGTATTATGAGAATATTCTTCGTCTGCCTTTCCATGCCAAACGTACAGATATTTTAGTCAATTTCTTTAATAACTGTACAGTACTCTCTAATAGATATGTTGTGTTACCCATGTTTCCAATTTCTGATGTAAGACGAAGAGAAAATCCTCGCGCTTCTACTTACTGGTCTTATATCTTTTGTTCAAACATTATGAATATGTATAAAATGTTCTCTACATTCAAAACATAGATGCCTTAAAACAAAGTTTCTCTTTCACTGTGGTAAATGAGAGATTGAAGTACAAAAATTAATTCCTCAAAATTCAAGGTTATATTTATTGATTGATGGTTTAGGAGCTCGAGGACCAACTAATTGTACAAGTAAGAAAATATCAGTATTCAAGAAGTAAGATTTGGTGTTACAGTCACCTTAATCATCCTCAGTAATGTTCCAAGGTTATGACAGTAATTAAGCAAAACCACAGGTATTAAGTCTTACCTAGGGCGCATCCTGTTCTGTTCTCCCAGCCCAGGCTGGTACACATAATGGGTACTGTGTTATTTTCCTCCTGCAGGAACATGTGACTGGCGTTGCAGACAGCTGGAACAGTTGACCCCACTAGCCAGTACTTTCCCTGCAGGTCCACAGTAGCGTTGGCCACCACCGCGTTATCTAGGCACACTGATGAGGAATATGCAGGACCAATACTTAAATAAATGTAGTGGCATCCACACACATCACATATTGATCTCCACACTCTTCAAGTCTAATTCCCAAGTCCCTCTGTAAATACGAAAACCCTCCACACTACTGATACCTAATAATATACACCCTCAAGACTCAAAACCGAACACACCCTAAAGACTAAACAAACCCTTAAAGCCAACACACTTCAAAGACCCTTCACATTCTCAAGACCTTGTACGTTCCAAAGACCCTCCACATTCTGAACACCGAACGCGCTCTTAAAGCCTCCACACTCCCAAAACCCTATAAATTCTCAAGACCCTCCACTATTTCAAGACCAGACGCAACTTGGATTTTTTTTTATAATTTTCCTGATTTTAGAATGTATAAAATTAAATAATATAATAAGTGTTTATTAAAATGTGGTGTTGGTGTGCCTTTCGAGAAATCTGGAGTCACGGGGGAGGGTGCAGCGGTGAGTGCAATAAAAGTGGCGTAGTGGAAGAATATACTGGACGGTGTATTGGAGATACATCTGGGTTCATCTCATCTAAAATGAAGTGTATCAACGTAAATGGAAAACTGAGTAATAATTAAACGTCAAGAATTTCAAGAAATTGTCAGCCAGGAAAGAGCTAATAAATTAAATGTAATTAACTCATGGAATTTTCGCTCACCATGAGGCGGGCTAAAACAATACGGGTTTTTCCCCAGGCTAGTCGCAGTGTTGTTACTGATTAAATACCACTCGTTCATGGTTGTAATACGATATATACTGTTTGTGGAGGTTAGTACACCAAACGGGGAGTAGGATGAAATTACCTCTGAGGCACCCACATCATCGTATGTCCTCGGATCATTCAATATATATATAAATATATATAATATATATATATAAATATATATATAATAATATATATATATATATATATATGTCGTGCCGAATAGGCAGAATTTTGCGATCTTGGATTAAATAGCAACGCTCATCTTGCCAATAGGACAAGTGAAAATTTGTGTATGCAATAATTTCGCCAAATCATTCTGAACCTAACGAAAAAATATATTTCACTGTGTTTGTTTAGTATTAAATTATTGTAAACAAATCTAAAATATATATAGTTGGAGTTAGGCTAAAATAAATTGTCTTGTTATAATAAAGGTTAGGTAAGTTTTCTAAGTTCCTTTGGTGTAAAATTAAATTTTTTTACATATACATTAATGAAAAAATTATATCTTTAAACGTAAAAAAGAAAATTTTAGAAAGGACTTAATTTTAAATGAGTTCTTGCTAATTGACCATTTTACATATTCGGCACGACAATATATATATATATATATATACATATAAATATATAAATATATATTATATATATATTATATATAATATATATATATATATATATATATAATATATATATATATATATATATATATATATTAAATATCATATATATATATATATATATATATATAATATATATATATATATATATATATATATATTCAACAAGTCGGCCGTCTCCCACCGAGGCAGGGTGACCCAAAAAGAAAGAAAATCCCCAAAAAGAAAATATATCCATCATTCAACACTTTCACTTCACTCACACATAATCACTGTTATCGCAGAGGTGTCCAGAATACAACAGTTTAGAAGTATATACGTATAAAAATACACAATATATCCCTCCAAACTGCCAATATCTCAAACCCCTCCTTTAGAGTGCAGGCAATGTACTTCCCATTTCCAAGACTCAAGTCCGGTTACATAAAATAACCGGTTTCCCTAAATCTCTTCACTAAATATTACCCTGATCACACTCCAACAGCTCGTCAGGTCCCAAATACCATTTGTCTCCATTCACTCCTATCTAACACGCTCACGCACGCTTGCTGGAAATCCAAACCTCTCGCCCACAACACCTCCTTTACCCCCTCCCTCCAACCTTTTCGAGGACAACCCGCCTTCATTCCCCTACAGATTTATACGCTCTCCATGTCATTCTACTTTGATCCATTCTCTCTAAATGACCAAACCACCTCAACAAACCACCTTCAGCCCTCTGACTAATACTTTTATTAACTCCACACCTTCTCCTAATTTCCACACTCCGAATTTTCTGCATAATATTTACACTGCCTCCAACCGCCTTCTCGCTGCAGCATTTACAACCCAAGCTTCACACCCATATAAGAGTGTTGGTGCTATTATACTTTCATACAGTCCCTTCTTTGCCTCCATAGATAACATTTTTTTTCCTCCACATATACCTCAATGCACAACTCACCTTTTTTCCTTCATCAGTTCTATGATTAACCTCATCCTTCATAAATCCATCCGCTGACACGTCAACTCCCAAATATCTGAAAACATTCACTTCTTCCATACTCCTCCCCAATTTGATATCCAATTTTTCTTTATCTAAATCATTTGAACTCTCATTACTTTACTCTTTTCTATGTTCACTTTCAACTTTCTACCTTTACACACACTCCCAAATTCGTCCACTAACCTTTGCAATTTTTCTTTAGAATCTCTCATAAGCACAGTATCATCAGCAAAAAGTAACTGTGTCACTTCCCATTTTGTAGCCTCACTATCCTCTTAAAAACTCTGTACAGCATTTAGTAACTTACCACCAATTCCATATACTTGCACCATCTGCCACATTGCTTCCCTATCCACTCTATCATATGCCTTTAATATGCAATAAAAACTTCCCTACCTTTATCTAAATACTGCTCACATATATGCTTCAATGTAAACACTTGATCTACACATCCCCTACCCACTCTAAAACCTTCTTGCTCATCCGCAATTCTACATTCTGTCTTACCTCTAATTCTTTCAATAATAACCCTACCGTACACTTTTCCTGGTATACTCAGTAAACTTATTCCTCTATAATTTTTACAATCTGTTTTGTCCCCCTTCCCTTTATATAAAGGGACTATACACGCTCTCCGCCAATCTCTAGGTACCTTCCCCTCTTTCATACATTTATTAAACAAAAATACCAACCACTCCAACACTATGTCCGCCTCTGCTTTTAACATTTCTGTCATGATCCCGTCAGTTCCAGCTGCTTTACCCCCTTTCATTCTACGTAATGCCTCACGCACCTCCTCCCCACTCACATCCTGCTCTTCTTCACTCCTAAAAGATGGTATACTTCCCTGGCCAGTGCATGAAATTACCGCCTCCCTTTCTTCGTCGACATTTAAAAGTTCTTCAAAATATTCTCTCCATCTACCCAAAACCTCCATCTCCCCATCTACTAACTCCCCTACTCTGTTTTTAACTGACAAATTCATTTATTCCCTAGGCTTTCTTAACTTGTTTAACTCACTCCAAAATATTTTCTTATTTTCATTAAAATTTCTTGACAGTGCCTCTCCCACTCTATCATCTGCTCTCCTTTTGCACTCTCTCACTACTCCCTTCACCTTTCTTTTACTCTCCATATACTCTGCTCTTCTTATAACACTTCTGCTTTGTAAATACCTCTCATAAGCTACCTTTTTCTCTTTTATCACACCCTTTACTTCATCATTCCATCAATCACTCCTCTTTCCTCCTGCACCCACCCTCCTATAACCACAAACTTCTGCCCCACATTCTAATACTGCATTTTTAAAACTATTCCAACCCTCTCCAACCCCCCCCCCCCACTACTCATACTTGCACCAGCCCACCTTTCTGCCAATAGTTGCTTATATTTCACCCGAACTTCCTCCTCCCTTAGTTTATACACTTTCACCTCCCTCTTACTTGTTGTTGCCATATTCCTCTTATCCCATCTACCTCTTACTCTAACTGTAGCTACAACTAGTTAATGATCCGATGTATCAGTTGCCCCTCTATAAACGTGTACATCCTGGAGCATACCCATCAACCTTTTCTCCACCAATACATAATCTAACAAACTACTTTCATTATGTGCTATATCATACCTTGTATATTTATTTATCCTCTTTTTCATAAAATGTGTATTACTTATTACCAAACCTCTTTCTACACATAGCTCAATTAAAGGCTCCCCATTTTCATTTACCCCTGGCACCCCAAATTTACCTACTACTCCCTCCACAACATTTTTACACACTTAAACATTAAAATCCCCAACCACAAGTACTCTCACACTCGGTTCAAAACTCTCCACGCATTCACTCAACATTTCCCAAAATCTCTCTCTCTCCTCTATACTTCTCTCTTCCCCAGGTGCATATACGCTTACTATAGCCCACTTCTCACACACACACACAGACACACACACAGACACACAGACACACACACACACACACACACACACACACACACACACACACACACACACACACACACACACACACATATATATACATATAATATATAATTAATATAATATATATATTAATATAATATATATATATATATAT